ACATATTAGAGACGGTTAGGAGTGTGGGTAGTTTGGGTTCTGCGCCAACGCTCGTGGAGAGCAAAGATGCGTACACAGAGTGGAAAAGCATGGACAGCCCAACGCTGAGCCCCACAGCGAGGTTCTCTACGCAGACATTGTGCCCCATTGCGCCGTTGACGCCGGCGAGGTTGCGGGGGATTGAAGATGATGAGGTTGATGATGAGATATACCCATACCCGAGAGCATTATGATACCATAGCGAATGAACAATATACGATGAATCTTGATATCTGTAACGTTTCGCCGTGCTCAGGTTCAAAACTCAGCTACACATTCTCATCAACAATCTTGCAAAACTGCAAGACACCACAAACCCAACCCGCCCAAACAACGACCCGAAAAACTCTCACCCTCCTCGACCCAACCCCAGACCCCTTCATGTCGGCAGTCACAAATCTGGTACGTACCTACCTTTACGCACACCCAAGTCCCGTACGCCCTATCCGAGTGGCGGGTTTCCGTTGTCTCAATTTCAGTAAAGTTACGTTAGCCTGCCACCAGCATCCAACCACACCACGGCGGCGCTCAGGCCCGTTTGTCCGCAGGGGTGCGCATGGCGAGCGATGGATCTGGGGTATAACCGTCCAACCCGTCATGGTGTGGTACTTGCCTTGTCAAGACGCAATCCGAGCCGTTCCTTTGCCGCAGGGGTGGTCGAGTTGCTGATCATGCTGTCTGTGCGTCAGCGTGTCTCGTGTCGTGTCGTGTGTTGCGACGTGGTCGAGGGGTGGAAGGTGATCGCGGGTGGCGGGGTTGACTGGGATGGATGGATGGCTTGAGTGCGTTGCGATGGATTGCAATCGGTTTTCGCGCTTCTTGTCTACGTGATGAATGTATTCGTGGAATGTGCTGCACCGTGACATTCTTGATCCCAGGCCTATACAACAAGGTCGTCTCCTTCACATACCCAGATACCCTACAGCCAAGGCAATCCAGACTCCAACGACCCCAGACCCAATTCCCGCATCCCAATCTCCGTTACACAGGATTCGCGGGTCCAATCTAGAGTTTTAGTCCCACCATCCCCTCGCCTTCGCAACGGCGGGAAGCGCATTCGGTTTCTCGTTGCTTATTCCTCATTACCCAGATCGCGCGGAAACCTTACTTGAAGCAGCAACTGTCGTCCGACTGGCAAAGCTATTACGCACCTCCACCCCCATCGAGGCACGTAATCCACAACTGGGGCATCGCCGAGGCCTTGGGCAGAGAAAGAAGAAAAACAAGACTTGAAGTACCTGGGCGAAATCTCTCAGCAAGCGCAACTCTCATTCCACGCGCTGTGTTGTGCGGTGATGCACGCGACGGAAAGGATCTTGCCTGCGCGTAAGCGAGGGGTTACAGTTGAAGGAAGGCACGAAGGTAAATGTTTGTATCCTCCAGTCAACGTCTTCCTCGCACCTCCCTCACGCGCACCCGATCCTTCACCCTCGCACCACACACAAAATCACTCGTCTACACCTACCATCCAGACCAGCCATCCCCTTGCCCAGTAAGTGGCAAAACTCCACCCCTTCATCGCCCTGTTTCCTTTTCCCCATCCCTCCATCCAGCATCCTCGTCCATTTCCTCCGTAACTCGTGACATTTGCCCACTCGCCCAGCATTAGTACACCCCATTAGTCCAGTTCAGCCGTATCCTTGTAATATATACCAGATTTCCGTTAGCGCCCGCCGGCTCAATATGGATAATCTCCCCTCTTCGGTGCGGAGCGAAGCGGTCGCTCGCGCATCGCCGGCTGGCGGGGGTTACGTGTGATGTGATTTTCAAGAATGGGCGGGAAAGATCTTGTTCGGATGTCATTTGCCTAAATGGATATGCAGGGTTTGGAGGATGTGGTGATCGGTAGGTGAGGGTGGGAAGGCTGGGTAAGGGGAGGTGTTCTTATTCATCTGTGTATTTCTTGAGGTAAGGGCGTATCTGGGAGGTGCACTGTGGAGTTTATGATGAGCGTTTGGGGACGAAGGGGATCTGGGTGTGGCGATATGGCGTGCGCTCGTGATAGGATGGCTTTTGAATATTGGCTAGATCGGGTGATGTGAGTGGTCTCTTGACTTTTTCAAGGACGTTTAATGCCTTGGATTCTTCGGTTTCCACCAACCATTCTCGCTGCTTCATTGCACCCACCAGCCATGTCTCATGATTTCTGCCTGTTGAGTTCACGCCACAATGTGGGGTTCTTGAGTGAGTGTAGAGTGGCTTGTCATTGAAGGCGTAAATGTGTTGCTGTACAGCGTTAGAATGAACGCCCTTGAACCTTTCTGTGCAAAGCCTTAGTCTTGATACCATACATATTGACTCCTTCTGGACCCAAGATGAACTGATGAGAAGAAAGACGGTACAGTCGTAGTAGCGTCACCGGCAACTCCGGCACTGAAGACGTAGTGGAGAGATTACCACGCGCCGTTCGTGGCGCAACATGCAATCCGTTTTGATGCGAATATTTTATTGATAGGGTATCCATGCATGAGAAAACATCCATCATCTGACAAGGCTTGCCAACCAGCCTCCAAAGATGAGCAGACACAAGAAAGATGAGAAAAGAACGTGACGATCGTGAAAGAGGGCTGCCAAAAGCGAAGGGTGACGCACGGCATCGGCGTCACCGATGCTATATCGATATTAAAGCTAGTATGCCAGCGGCGAAGAAAGCCATAGTAGGGGTGCCAGACATGAGGCTCTGGGCGGCGGAAGCCTCGCCAGCCAGCACTTTGTCGTCATTACGGATGCAGTTTGTCTTGGCTGTAATTTCCGCGGGACAGACTACGCGTTTGAAGTTCGCACTGTGTGACGTTAGTCTATATAATTTGTGTAGCCTGCGGATCGAGATGAGGGCATGTTTACCTAGGGTACGATGCATCCTTGAACCAATCAAAGCGCCATTCGCAACCGGCTCTCAGGTTCTCGGGTAGCTTTTGGCAGTCTTCGGTGGAGCTGACACCCATCATGAGCTCACCGAAGACGCTTTGGTCCACGCCATACTGCTGGGCGCATGCATTTGTCGATGTTGTGTTACCGCCAGGAATCTAGATAGTTCAGCTTTGCGACCATGATAATGGATGTTCATTGAAGGCTTACTGCAAGTGAAAACCGGTTTCGGTCGGTTACATCGTAGGCGGTATTCGAGGCTTGAACAATCATGCTCTTGCCGATCAGAGGCTCACTCGTAAAGTCGAGCTGGTAGCATGCGCAGCACCAGGCGCCCTCTATACCTCCGTGAGTAAGTTCGGGTAGAATAAAGGCACCGGCATAGCCATATGAAACAGTGTCGTTGATGGCCCATGGCTGCTGGCTGGAGCACTGAAACGCGGAACCGCCGTTACAACCAGTGCCGGCAGCATCGTCCGTGGGCTTGTCGTCGGCCGTACACGATTCTACCGGACTCGAGAAATCTGCTTTGCCGTTCCAACCACATGATGGCTTACAGCAGTCCCAGAAACGAGATGTGACGGCCTCTCCAGTATAGTTGAGATGTGCGCATCGTGCAAAGACCGCGAAGAGCTCGACGGCAAGGGCGATATTGCGGAGATGTTGCGGCATCATTGCGGAATGAGTGATCTGAAGTCGAAGTAGAAACCGAATGGCATGGTTTGTTAGCCAGAGTGATCCGCGCGCAGTGCCAGGAAATTGTATTTGAAGGATACTGAAAAAGAGGGGTCCCTTCTTTAGTCCGGCTGCAAGGAGAGATTAAACTGTTTTCGATACTCGAGGCCGAGAACCATCATGCTGTGCACCGTGCAGGGGTGGGCGGAGCTTGGGTACTGAAACGGTACCCGGGGTAGTGGCATCTGAGAGGTCAGAGAGCCGCTGTCACAGTTCCCACACGCTGTCAACCTACCCGATGCCTTGACTTGCATTGTCTGGCCTTATAGATTGCCCCTGTCATTGCCTCGTGGTGCATTTTCCCCACACTCTGCACGCAACGTTGTATCGCTCCCCGCGATTCGGCAATCGCGACATCTGCTCGCAAGGTCGCGTAAATGAATGCCGGGACGGACGCGACAAAACCGAGGAATTTGTACAGCTGGGTTGCCCGTTGTTGTGCTTTATGCTCGCTCTCGTGTTAGACGAGAAGGTTTGCCCAATGTCTCACGCTCCGCCCTGCCCCCCTTCAGGGCTCATCTCGGCTATTCTCGCGACCGTTCAAAACGAACTTCTCCGCTTCTTGAGCTGCAACCGTTCACACCGCACTGCCGTGTGACGCAACCTTGAAGGCTGATAATACTCCGGGCGCTCGGTTCACGTGGCCTCAAAGAGGTTGAGCACCGTAGCTGAATAGGGAAGCAGATGCACCCGATTGGCCGCAACTTCAATATCGCTACCAGACTAGAGGCCATACTGAAGCACGCAGTAACCGTTTTGCTAGGATGCTTTGAACTTTGTGTAAACAGGTTGCTAGCATCGCTCCGGCTGAATCGACGTCGTCAGCATAGTCACTGGTCATGCGTAATAGCGCGTTTGTCATATAGCAGTCGCCATCGCCAACATCGCTAGACGGTGTTCGCAGTTTCGCGATTAGGAAAGGACCGAAGTACGTGGCATAAGTATGGACCGGATGTTTGGTTGAGAGGGCAAGGCATGAACGTCTTCCATGTCTACTATCTGCCAAGCCACCGATACACGAACTCTGCCCCACCCGGCGTTCGCTCAAGTCTCCAAAGTCCACTCTGCTGAGACAGCAAACGCTCTGGAACTTGGATACGAGTTGCCGCCTGGGCAGCTCTTACACCCCTGGGCTGGATTCCCGGCGATTGCCGTCGAGATGTGCGCGGTGGATTTTGAAATCGTTATGTTAATTCACCGCTACTAATACATCGTTAACAAGCGTACATGCTCGTAATACCTCCGTAGTTATGCAAATTGTGCATATGCTCCTCAACGCCGTCAAAATATGCTCGTCACGCGTAGAGTCTCGTGTCTGTTCTCCGTCTCTCATACTCTAGTCGAGCGCCGGGATGCGCTCAATCACTTCTCAGCATGCTCTCCACCAAATCACCCAACGGTCCCCAGAAGTCCTTGCTCCCACTTGCCAGCCCATGCTCGTCTATGAACAGCACATAGTGCTTGAAGCTGGTGTTGAGATGAGGCTCCAGGCCCAACTCGATGATGACGGGGTAGTGGTGGCAGTAGATATGTGCGTAGACGCGGTATAGACGCTTGAACATATTCCTGATGAGCGCTGGAAATGTCTTGGGGAAGGGAACGCCGATGCGCGAGGGAAACATGGACTCGTTGTCGACATTGGACTGTATCCATGCCATGAGGTGTTCAATGTATTCGGGTGCGGGCATCTTGGTAGGCTTCTTGTAATTCTCGGAATCTTGCCAGAGGTACTCAAACCTGTCGATAGTCAGCATTGCGCATATGTGGACTTGGTTCATACTCACTCGTCGGTCGCTTTCATCTCAGGACAGCTTTGTGGCGAGCAGAACTCTGTGATGGAGCCATAGAGCAGGTTGATCTGGTTGTAGAAGTCGACGACTGCGGTCGCGTATCAGCACGAGTCCCCAAATCGGCAGAGATATGCTCCTACCATTGACGGCAAGCCACTCGTCCTTGTCCTCGCCTTCGGGTAGCTTGACAGCCTTCCTTAGACTGCCGCTACCGAGTGTGGCCTCGGCATACTGCTTCAGCTGCCAGCTGCTGGTGCCTCGATTCTTCGACGGCTTGAACGGTGCGCGAGTTCGCGGGTTGCTAGCGCAGAAGTCAGCCTGTGTTCGTAGTATGAATCTCCCATCTCAAGCGAGACTTCTCTCCAGCCTTCTGCCATGAACTCAGATGTCTCTTTCGACCTGGCATATCCCAATAATGTCGCATGGCCTGCACATTGTGGTCTTGTCGCTATTGATCCGTGTATTTGCGCAACTCCGGCGCCAGGCTCAGGCGCGACAGGCTAGCGATCAAGGACGCGATTTCGTCTCGTGGGTCGTATATCCTGCAGTAGAAGAGCGGAAAGGGAGACGAACATTGTACTTATAAATCCCGACATATCTACTCTCGATTCGTGCTATCGTATGGACCGGTACTGCGTGCGTGCGTGTGTGCTATCTGCTGTCGCGCATTCCGATGGTTAGCCAAGGCAAACAATACAAGGTAATGGGACTGCGACAAACCTGGTAGCAACAAGAAGTAGAAGGTCAAGGTAAACAACGTGAGCGAGCGACAAGAAGAGGGTAACAGAGAAGGGCAGAGAGTCAATGACGTTGGATGGGCTGGCTTGGGGGAGGGGTGTTTGGACAGGACCCCACAATCAACAATCGCGACCGCCGCAACCACCGGCCTCGATCGCCGCACTAACAACTTGGTCCAGATGTCGCGCCCACCCAATTGGCCCACCCTCAACTTTCATGTCTGCTTTTTCCGTCTGACCGCCTCGAGACATGTTGGAAGAGATGCGAGACGAATTTCCGCTGGCAGCGCATTGTAAAATCTGTCTCTCCTATGCGCGGGCTGCATGTTGTCGCAATGACTTTCGTGAGCGCATCACTGAGATATACCAACGGAGGTAATTCGGAGAAGAAAAGAAGATATCGTAATGTTTTTGGGAGGTCTACTCTAGGTCTATTCTAGGTCTAGGATATACGCTGACAACTTCCACCGCTGATGATTACCGCTCCATACCCACACATCCTGTCAGACCTCACTTGCTGAAGTACGGGTCTTGCTCAAAATAGTCGCCTTTGTCACGGCCACGTCCGTTGCGACGACCATTCTGCGTCTGCGGCCTCGAGTCGGAGCCACCGTCCGTCATGGTCTCAAACTCATCCGGTTCGTAGTCCTGCATGCCGGTCTTGATGCGCTGAAGTTGACCAGCTACGTAATGGTGGAGACGATCCTCCATTGCCGACTTCTGGTCAAGGGCGGCTTGGTCCAGTACACCGACCGAGTTCTTGCGTTTGATCGGGCTTGTAGCGTCCTCCTCTTCGCCGTTGGTTGATGTCTCTCCCCAGTCACTTCGGAAGCCTATGCTACGGCTAGTAGAAGATCGGCGGAGTGTCTGGCGCTTCGCTGGTTTGCCTGTCGTGGTGAACACATCGTCGAAGTAATGGTCGGCAGCGCCTGTAGGTGTGCGCGGCGTTTGTGGCAGACGGCACGTCATGCTGCACGTCGTTAGTGAAGGTACTATACGTAATGTCGTTGAGCTTACCCAGTGTCGTGAATCATCTTCGCAATCAGACCGGTCCAGCCGCACTGATGCGTCGCTCCCAAGCCACGGCCGGTATCACCATCGAAGAACTCGTGGTACCACATGTAATCTTTCCAGTTCGGGTCAAAGTCGAGCATTTGGTTGCCGTCGTTGATGGCCCTTCTACCGTCATCTCCGCGAGCAAACAAATGCTGAAGACGATGTTGAATCTCCTCTGCAACGTGGCCGAGATGCATGTAGTCACCCGACCCCGTAGGGCACTCAACCTTGAGATCGTTGCCATAGTAGAGATGGAACCTCTGGCAAGACTCGATGAGTAGGAAGTTGACGGCTAACCAGATGGGACCTCGCCAGTTGCTGTTGCCACCAAAGAGACCGCTGTCTGAGTCACCGGGAAGGTAAGCTACCTCATACTTCTGACCATTGACGTCCATGCTATAGGGATGATCCTTGTGGTATTTCGAAAGCGATCGGATCCCGTGGTCGGCGAAGAACTCATCCTCGTCCAACATTCTCTTCATTATCCGCTTCAGTCGGTCTTCGTTGACAAGTGACAGAAGCAAGCGGTCGCCCTTACCACGTTTGGAGAGCGTATGGATGTTGCGCTTCGAAGTTTCGGGACGGTGAGCAATGAACCATTCCACTCGCTTCTTGAAGCTGGGCAGGCGGTTGATAACCTCCGGCTCTAGCGTCATAGTCGAGTACAGAGGAATGAGACCGACCAGAGAACGGACGGGCATCTGATGGCTCCATGGACCACCCCAAGAGATGGCATCATAGTAGAACCCGTCCTCCTCGTTCCACAGCGGCTTCGACTCGCCGTCGCTGCGGAATTGCATAGCGTCGCTGATCATCAAAAAGTGCTCGAAGAACTTGGAGGCCATGTCTTCGTAGATGCGTCGTCGCTTGGCGAGCTCAAGGCAGATGTTCAGCATGTTCAGGCAGTAGAAGCCCATCCAGCCAGTACTGTCGGCCTGCTCCAGGGTACCGCCGGTCGGCAATGGGTCTGAACGGTTGAAGAGACCAATGTTGTCGAGACCGAGGAAACCACCTTCGAAGATGTTCTTTCCGTCAGCGTCTTTTCGGTTGACCCACCACGTAAAGTTCAGCAACAGTTTCTGGAATACGCGCTCAAGGCAATCAAAGTCCTCACGTCCGTACATCTTGCGCTCAATCTTGAAGACCCGGAATAGCGACCAGGCATGTACCGGAGGGTTCACGTCGCCAAAGTTCCATTCGTATGCCGGTAGCTGCCCGTTCGGGTGCATGTACCACTCACGTGTGAAAAGGTCGAGCTGCTTCTTGGCGAAGTCGGGGTCGATCATGGCGAGTGTGATACAGTGGAAAGCACTGTCCCATGCGGCGAAGAAGGGGTATTCCCAAGAGTCGGGCATGGACAAAATATCGTCCAGGTACATGTGCTTCCACTCCTTGTTGCGTATAGCCTTGCGACCGGGTGGTGGAGGAGGCATGCCAGGGTCGCCGTTAGCCCACTGGTCCCAGATGAAGTGGTAGTATTGCTTGCACCACATCATGCCGGAGAATGCCTGACGCTGGATGTTGCGCAAATCGTCAGCGATTGGGAGAGGGCTGATTCTGTAGTAAAATTCGTCGGCTTCGGCGCGACGCTGTTCTATAATGTCGTCAAACATCTCCTCGTCAAGGAATCCGTCGTTTCTCTTTGAGAGCCTGAAGCGGACTACAGCGCACTCGCCAGGTGGGACACCGTCGCCTTCGTCGAACGCGTACCAAGCACCGCACTTGGTACCAGTGTTCTCAGGATTGACAGCATCCTTCTGCTCGTCCACGATGCGGCGATGGATAGCGTCCTTGACATATGGAACCTTGTTCTCCACGTTCCACAGCCCCTTGTAGTTGGTGTCGTTATCGGTGAAGAGAAGCTCGGGCTGTACGTCTTCGCCGCTCGGGCCGGTGCCAGGGGACGGGGAGAGCTGGAAGTAGCGGTCACCCAGCTTGTGGTGTTTCGACTGCGCCGTTGTTGGGCCAATCTTGGTGATTGAGGGTTTCAGACTCGGGTCCTCGTGGCCCCATGCCCAGGTATTCCTGAACCAACAGTGAGGTACAATGTGCAGCGGCGCCGGTTCTGGGCCACGGTTGTAAGCTGTCACTCGGAAGCACATCTCCTCTGGATCGTCCGCTTCCTTCGCAGTCTCGATGAAAATGTCCCAATACCGGTCATCGTCGAAGATGCCTGTGTCAACGAGGTTGTACTCCTTGTCCAACCGCGTTCGCTTCGCGTTCGTCTCGATGAGTTCTTCGTATGGGAATTTCCGCTGAGGAAGTTTGTACAGGAATTTCATGTACGAGTGCTGCAACTGAATCAGCGGTATTTCTGTAGCGAGCGAAGCCAACATACAGTTGGCGTGTTGTCCAGGTGGAAATGGCACTCCTTGAGCGACTCGCCGTGGTTACCCTGTGGGTTGGATAAACCGAAAAGGCGCTCCTTTAGAAATTCGCTGCAAGAAAGTCAGCGTGTATCGCAAGAGTGCCACTGGCGCACACATACTCCTTCTCGTTCCAGAAAGCGAAGGCAATGTTCTGGAAGCCGTGTGTATCAGACACACCAGCAATGCCGTCCTCGCCCCAGCGAAAGGCGCGCGACCGCGCCATGTCGTGCGTGAAATCTATGAGGCATTAGAGAAATCGGATGGCACCGAAGGCGAGTACTCACGGCTCCAGGCATCTCCATCAGCGCTGCAGAAGTTTGTTAGTAGCATACCATGGCGTTGACAGCAAGGGTACTCACGAGTAATCTTCGCGGACTGGACACTTATTAGATTGATTGCAACATATTCATGGGAATAGAGACTGACCAGTTGCCCACTGCCTCTCGGCAACGTAGGGGCCCCATCGCTTCCAGTAGGCGGTGCGTTCTCGGTCCTGCTTCAGACGCTTCTCCTCTTCGCAGAGGTACTCTTGATTCTCAATGAGAACCATGGTGACAATGTGTGCCGGAGGGGTGTAGGAGGAGTGTTGACGGCAGACAGCAAGTGAGGTTTGGGCGTTGGCGCGTGCAGCGGCGTCGAAGGAATTATTTCCTGCAGGTAGTATGGAGCAAACAATGGGGTAACTCAGACGATCAAGATAGTGGAGAAGAAGTAGGTGGGGTAATGTATATGAGAGACGCTGATGGCGAGGGAGTCCAATGTTTGGAGGTGGTGTGCATAGAGGAAGAGACAGAAAGCGGACGGGATTTTGTCAAGGCGCGTGTCTTGGTGGTGGCTACCACCGACTTTCGACGCAGGAACTCGCGATGCATCATAGGACGGCAACCGTGCAGCGCGGGACTTATCGCGAACGGCTGACCTAAGCCCACTCTAGCCTAACGCCCTCGTCCGCCAGGTTTCAATCCCATGTCCAGCGAGCCGCAAAAAGGCTGGCCAGAAGCTTGGAAATGCCCATGCCCGCCGCTGCAGCAGCGTCGGCTACACGTGTCGCCCATCTGTTGAGCCGCTTTCAAAATCTCTGCGCCAAAGTGTTGAACGCGCTTACTGGGGGCGACGCCAGCCTTGAACAAGCAACCACGATAAAGACGTTAGCCTCCGGTCCTCCCCACCGTGCCATCGCCGATCGGACCTGGCCAGCTTCGGAAGGCCCTTCTGGGGTGTGGAGTGCTGACAGCGGATCCCGGCATGGGGATTCGCATGCCACACGTATCGACTTTGGAGCGTGGTGTTGTCCCTGCTTCCGCGGCATGCAGCACAGTTATGTACAAGAGTTGGGATGCATATGGTCGCGTTTCCGAGCCTGCGCGCCAGACGCCAATTCACGTGATGCATCACCGACATCCGAGGGGTAGCACTAAACATATCCAGTCGTATGGCTACTCATGTACGGGAGGTCAAGGGTAATGAGTGACGTCATCAGCTGCAAGTCTTCGGTGAGAAAAGGTTAAGTTTAATATTATGAAACGAATGCACACGAGCCGAGAAGTTCAAGAATACGATACAGCGTCTTACGACTCTCGCAAGGGGGGCTGGGAAGTCGGTGTGGCAGGTCTGGCCGCCCTACATGAACTTTGACCGGAATCGATTAGATGTTCCCATTTGAGCAGCGCTCATATCATGCGGCTCAGTCCTACTCCTAACCGCGACATAATAGTTTACTTTCACCTCTGGATCCAACAATGCTACCGAGCGATCATGTTAGTGCACGTATTGACCAGAATTTGTACAGTAGCCGCCCAAGTCATCATCGCTAGTCGTGAATTGCTGATGCATGAATAACCTCTTTCACATGCCTCCAAGCACAGAGCTGGAAATCTGACAAGTGTAAAGAATTATATCCAAACGCCGCACGAGGTCTATGCAAAGAGTGACAAGCTTGCCAGAAGATTGTAATGTTTTCAAGCAAACCTCGAATCGCTGGAACTGTGCATCGCAAGAATAGACGTAGGTATCAGACTACCTAAGTCGAAACGAGGAATTTTGTTCTCGAGGTCAATCGCGGGTGCTTCTTTTGCGTATCCACCAAGTCGAGGCACGATTTACAACCGTGCAGATGGCTACATAGTCTATGTACATGTCACTTTAGTCGCCATGAGCGCTGCGTAACCTTCCCATGGCGCTTGCTCTACGTATGTATGCTATGGTGTTGATAGAGGGGCGTGGAGCAGAGCTGGCCGCTAGCGCCTGCCACGGCGATTCTTCGGGCCGCGCCATTGATGGTCAGGTACGCGGCCGCTCAGCTCTACCAAACATTACACGTCTCCCAAGTCCGACATCCTCACACAGTCACGCCCAAGATGCTCGTCTCCCTCACAGTCGGAAAGGTCGATGCTGGAGTAGCAGTGCTACTGACAGAAGACAAGCGTCTCGTGAGCCCCTCAATGCCGCCCAGCGCTCAACGCAGCGCAGGCGCATCCTTGCTCTTCATCTGGCTGACGTAAAGGTAGATTGAGTTCCCTTCTATATTGCTACCCCCCGACATCTCGTCGGGCTCTATGGTGGATATCGATGTTGGAAGAAACTACAAAGCCGAAGCCGACGCCCAGAAAGCCTTCCATGAGCTCCAGTCGGAGATCTTCCGCACCTTTGGCCAGCGCACCCCCTCAGCCCCCGTCCTCAAATGCCGCAATGCCACGCAAACCTCAGTCGTTCTCGAATGGGACCCTATCGATATCGCGACCGCCGAACTGCGCAGCCTCACACTATGCCGCAATGGCAACAAGGCAGGCACAATACCCAAGCCCAGTGACGTGCACAGCACCAAGCTGAGTGGTCTGGCTGTCGACACGGAATATCAGTTCCATTTGGTCCTCAAAACGAGCGCGGGCACTTTCAGCAGCGAGAAGCTTTTGGTACAAACACACAAGATGACGGACTTGTCTGGTATCACCATCACGCCTGGCCACATGCCTGCGGCTCTCCGAGAGTCTCTGCAGCGGTCCGTGGAAAGAATCGGCGCCAAGATCGCGGACAATGTGCGCATCGACACCACGCACTTCGTATGCACCGAAGGCAGAGGGCCTGCGTGGGAGAAGGCGGTCGAGAACAACATACCTGTAGTTGTCCCAGATTGGGTCATAGGCTGCGAGAGGGAGGGCAGGATTGTCGGTGTGAGGGGTTACTACCTAAACGCGGACCCTAGGTTACGAAGCGTCGGCCCAGGAGGCTCACAGCAACCCGCCCAGCAATCACAACAGCAGCCTCAGCAACAACAGCAGCAGCAGCAACCCAGAAGTCCAATCATGAGCCCGCGCACCGAGGTGACACCACCTACACCCGAGCAACCGAGGCGTGACCGCGATACCGACGGTGCAGCGCCACCCCCTCCGCCACCCAAAGACGACGTTAGCGAGAAGAGCGAGCGAAACTCAGTGGAACCGAAGACGCAGACAGAAGAGCAAAAGGCTCGAACCGAGGATCTCAAGCCGCAAAATGGGAAGGAACCACAGCAAGAGGATAGCGAGGAGGACGAATCTGAGCCTGAGCCCAACGACGAGAAGTCTCTGGAAGCAAGTTTACCACAGAGACCGAAGCCAGGCCAAGCATCAGCTGAAGACGATGGCGATGGAGCCAGTTTTCAAGATGTGGAAATTTAGTAGAGGTGCTGAGAGGACATGTCAAATCTGGAATGCCACAGCGTGTCGACCTGGCTACCCATCTGCAGCATTGACTACAACCACGACTATAGCATTGTAATGATACCAATTTTCAAGACCACATTGCGGTTAAGATGACAGTTCACGGCCTTCTATTCGCGATCTGACTGCACTAGTCAGGGACATTGTCCCGAAATCACGGACCTTAGCGCTAACGTACTCGAACCCATCTCATTGGGCCAAGCCAGCATGTAGGGAGGATCCCTAATCGACCCACGAACACTAAGATCTTACGGCCGGTCAAAGCATCATATCCCACTCTATATAAATTCCGTCGTATGCCGCAATGTACCGATGCGCAGTAAGTCCAGTCTTCCCATCTCCTGGACTGCGGAGCCGGCATCATAGCAATGTCTCTTTTTAAACTTCCCGATATCATCATAACATTACAAGTACCCCTTCTCTACCTACTCAACATCCTTACCCTTGCCACCGGACCCGATCACCGCCTCCCTCGTATCGCTATCACTCTCCCTCTTCTCCTTCTCCTCGCCGCTCAATCTCTTTACCGAGAATGGGGGGATGCAGGTTGGGGCTACAACCTAGCAATCAACTGTGGAGTGGGCGCTCGTGTGTTCACCTATGTTGACTGGATCTTACTGGGGAGCCCCGACAAAGACGGGTGGTACAAGATACAATATGAGAAGGATGAAAATGACAAGAAGAATGACGACGTGAAACAGCTGGATTACAGAGACAGACCCGGTGGTGCAGGGAGAAGTTTCTGGAGCAGAGCATGGTGGGCTCTTCGTCTCTCGACGTGGAGCCGTTACACGGGATGGAGTAGTCAGGTCAAGAATGTGTGCATGGAAGTACCGGGCGACTACCCTCGTCTGTAAGTCTACCCCCAACCTATCATCCCCGACTCAACTAACCCAACCAAGTAAATTCATCGCCCGAAAGCTCGTACGCGGCCTCATCTTCTTCGTCATAAAAGACATTATAGTCTGCCACTCCGCCGCATCCCCCCACGGCTCCTGGATCGATATCCGCACGCAGAAACCACACCAGCCCTTCCCGGTTGACTCTCCCTTCCTCACTCGCTTCTACTACACTTGGCTTCATATCATGCTCACATTCACCACCATGGAGTTCTACAACATCGCTTACGGCATTGTATCCGTAGCCACCGGTCTCACTAACCCACGAGACTGCCCCTCCATGTTTGGTAGGTTCCGCGATTTGTACAGTGTGCGCAGCGCGTGGTCTGTGGTTTGGCATCAGCAATGCCGTCGTATTTGCTCTCCTCTTAGTGTTTGGTTAGCGAGGGATTTGCTGGGTTTGCGCAAGGGGTCTTTTGCGTCCAAGTATGTTCAGCTTTTCGTTGCGTTTGGTATCTCGGGGTTGGTGCATGGGGTAGCGAGCATGTTGGTGAATTGCGAGTTTGATGACGACGGCGCGTTGTGGTGCTTTTTGTTGCAGGCGGCGATCATTATGGTGGAGGATCATGTTATTGGCTTGGGGAAGGCGATGGGGTTCAAGGATGGGTTGTTTTGGCGTGTGGTCGGCTTTGTGTGGATGGTGGGCGCGTTGGGGTGGAGCCTTGAGCCTTGGGTTGGTAGAAATATTGCGAGAGGTGTTTGGGTGCAGAATAGGGAGTTGGATCTGTTTGGTATTGGGCCTGTGGTGGTTGCATAGAGTTTTGGATCGAGTCTTCAAAGGAAGATCTGATGAGCTATCGACGTTTCAGTGTAGTGTGTACTTTTTGACTGGCTTGTCGCTTGTGAGAGCTTCGCCATGCATATAACCATGGATATAGACGTCCCCAACGTAGCGATACTCATTGCTTTGACCATCCAGGCGGAGTATAATGGGTGTTGAACAACCAAACGGCACAACAACGACGTCTGTGCGACTCATGAAACCAGTTCCCATGCCCATCAATCCGTCCCTCGTAATGCAGAAGGTTCTACCCATCTGTAGATAACACAATACGTTAGCAGAGACATTGAGACAGAAACTCTGAACGTACCATTCTGTTACCGAAGTTCTTTTGTATGAATGATCGTAGCTCATAGAGTTGCGGGTTGTCTGACTCCCCTTGTTGTTTGAACTTAGAGTCCAGCTGAAGTCGTGGGAATATCTCCTGGGTCCATGAAGAGAACATATAATAGCAGGCTCTCGTCCAACAATGCTCTAGTTCTTCAAGTGGCTGACCCAATGAGAGCGTTTTGCAGAAGTCGTCTACGCGCGGATGGTCCGACTCTTCGTCTTCTGTAATGTTGAAACGAGAGAGAAGCAGCACCCGCCAATTCAGAAAGGCCATGAGATAATCTTGTAGAGAGCACAGAGTGCCCACTGCCACGCCCGTCGTATCGATGATATCCATTTCAATGGCAGAGATCTCAAGCTTCCGCAACTCGTCCTTGAACTCGCATTCGGCGTCGCTGTAGCCCGCCGCCGAGAAGTTCTCCGAGGATAAGGCCGAGTTTTCTGGAACCTGTGCCCAGTTTGGACACCATGTGGGCAAATCAGTAAAGTTGACCTGAACAGGAAAGTGGATCGCTTCGCGCATCACATCAAGGCGATGCGTGGACCGAACGATGAGTTGGGTGACTTCCAGGTATAGAGACTTGACAGTTTTGTCATAGCTCACATTTAGGCGTTCGCGTATGTCTTGTGGAAGTATGCCTAGCACACCGAATACCTTATCTCTCGGGTTCTCGCTCAGCTTCCTCCGGCAAGCTCGCAAAACTTCTAACAGAGAGTTTGGACCCAGCGCCATGAGACGTTGGACATCTGGAAAGCTACTCGGTCCCGTCCAGAGGTAAGGGTCGCTTTCGTGTTGCCAAAGAGTATCTGATGCTCTCTTATGTAGGTCCCAGGGGAGTTTGGAAGAACCGCAGCAGACTATCTTGCTCTGTGCGTAATATACTTCCTGCACAACCCAAAGCCGACTCCAATAGTTCCTCCGGAAGAGAGTGTGCAAAGCTTTGTAGTCACCATGTTCCAAAAGGCTGGTCCATTCACTTGTCGCTTTGTAGGCGCTCAATTTCCCTATTAGTTGCATCGCCTGCCCGCTGTTATCCACTTCTCGTCCAAGCCAAATGGCAACACATGTTGCCTGTCGATATATCTTGTCCATCAACTGAACCTGCTTGGAACGCTCGACTTTATTCTCTTGGTCATCGCCGGGTTATATGATGGAAAGTGAAGCCAAAAGAAGCGGCTGTTCACGACGCAGTCTGATGCGGGGTTTTCAGCTGTGATGTGTCAGCCAGGCTGCAGAATTGTCCAAGCGAACACATGATGCTATTGGTCGAATACCAATCTTGAAAGACTGCTGTTTGTACGGCGGATCGGAGGTGCACAAGTGAATGTCTGGTAACGGATGGATCGGCGTCATGGTGTGAACCGTCTTGAGGTAGCAGACAGGTTCATGCGGTAAGGCACGCGAAGACTGACTACTCTGACTTCCAACCGAAACTTGAAGAATAACCCGAAGTGATGATGTATGCGAACTGCTTGTCAATTGGTGAGAAGGGTGAGCGCCTTGGATATTTTGTTCGATCCCCGAGTATATGATGCACATAGCACACCAGCCTCTTCTTCAACTGACCGTGTAGTACTATGCCCCTAAACGCCATATATGCATACATCTTCGTACCTTATTTTACATGCCACGACCATATCTAATTTCCATCTCTTCACGTTTATTCGTACGCCCCCATAGCCTCGCCCGCCCTCTGCTCAATATAGTACCCCGGATCCGGTCTTCTCGCAGCGCGCATTTGGTCCTTCGTCATTGGGTTCTTGACCTCTTTGACATCGACCAACTCCTTTATCCTCATGATCTGACCAGCGACAGATTGTGTAACGGGGTGGTAGACTGTCGTCATGCGTTTGCGGAGACCGAGCGCTTTGAGTACTCCCTGCGTCTTCTCGGGCATACCGATGCCGGAGCGCATGAGTGTTATCCGGAAATAAGACATGGTGGGTATGTGATGTAGAGAGTTGGTGGCTTCGACGCGAGGTCTCGGTGCGTTTGCGAGTGGCTTTGGATGGGTTTGGCGTGGCGTTTGGCGTGGGCCCTGCGGCGACACGGAGTCAGATTAACTACCTAGACGTCAGATTGAAGTGTTCATGTCTTGAGCAGCTTCACATACCGTTTGTGTGGCGATGTAACGTTGATGCCCGCCTGCGCGCCTGCGATTGTCACCACCAACTTTTCGGACTTCTGGAGACCTCGGAATGCGACGCTTGTCCCGAAATAGCTTAGGCCCACGCGGGGCGGATGCCGAACCACTTGTGGGACCTTCACTTCTGTCTTCGCACCCATCTTCCATCATGAATGTCAATCGCGTTATGGTCAGCTCGATTCCACCGGCGCCGTCTGGAGAAGGAGCGGTGAGAACCTATCGACAGGTGTCGTCACTACGCCACGCAGGTCGCCTTCCTCCCGCGCCCCTGGATGCGGTACTGTGATATTCCATCCCCGATGTGCATTCGGTACTCGGGAGGGACTGCACGTCCCTTTCTACAATACGGTGCATACGGCAAATAGGATGTAATGCCTGACGCTCCACTAGATGCGTCTGCCCGTTTGGCTGTACGACCCCAATATCGGATTTCAAGGAAACGACACATCGGTCCGATGCCTTGACGCTTCCAGCGGCACAGAAAGCCATGTCTCAAAAATTCTATCTTTCGTCCAGTCTTTTCCTGGCAGATTTTTGGAAAGATGACGTCTCCATGTCGAATCTAGTATTCTTGTCAAACACCAAACCCGTTATGTCTGCAGTTATGTGTTTTCTAAGGCACCTCCCGTCAATAGCCCGTCCCTTAATATCCGCTACCACGAGGGTCTCAAACCATCATTCATGGCGGTGTTCTCCGCATCGGAGCATACTAAAGGTCCAAACGTGCCTCGCTAAGAGGACCTTCGCGTCGATACGCCTGATGCACAATCCGCATTATGCGGTCATGCAAGATACCGCGATCTGCATACCAAACGGATAGCGATGAAGAAAGGGCATTCGAAGCAATGACACCGACGATTCGTTCCACATGCACCTGGCCTTACCCCCGTCACCAAACGAAAAAGGTAGCAACGGTACGGTACCTCAGGACTAAATGTATTGTGACCGTCCCCACAACCCGGTTGGGCCTGCCGACGGCACCGAGCGTGGGATCTCGTTGTCTCTTTGTTGACTCTCGGGTAGTCAACACTCGAACAGACGAAACGATGTACATGCCCGTCGGCGGAAGGAAAGTCAACATGACCAACGAACTCCTGATTCAAATGCATTTGTACCGTTTGAATGGCCTCGTTGACCGGTCTCTTGGGACTGTACGTTAGACTGACATATGGAGGCATAAAAGACTTCTCTTGAACGCAACAGCTTCCACCATACAGTTCCGAATTTCAGAGTCGTCTGTCACTTACTTTCAGTAGACCTCAAAGACACTACAAGTGGGTTTGACGTGGACAGTATATCCAGTCGGCAACATCTCATATTCGCTACAACTTGCTGCTTTGAAGACACATCAATTACAACTCCATCATGACAGGTAAACCTCCGAACCCTCGCACACACCCCGAATAGATATACTGATATACAAATAGCACTTTACACTCTTACACAACCCCATCCGATCCATGCATCACCGACACCACCCCCCGCCCCAACCGCCATACCGACACTGGTCTACCGCGTTCATCGCACTAGCTCACAGACCCGCTACGCCTTCTCCACCGGCTTCAGTTCCAAGAACCAAACCACTATCGTCAACTACACATCCGCACTATCCCGTTTCGGTCTCGCCCACCTGAACCAACAAACCAACATCTCTTCCCCCTTCATCAGCGTGTACGACAACCTAGCCCATGCAGAAGCCGTCGCCAAGCACTTCGGAGAGCGCTATGGCGAGGACACCTGGGTTGTTACCGTAGATCCCGCGCACTTTGCTAGAGGTCCAGTGTTTCGCGCTGCGGACCTGCTGAAGGATGCCGCCGGTAGCAAAGAGGTAGCAGCGGAGTGGTTGCATTATGGTGAGTATCTGGTCATGTATCGCATCCCGCCGCAGGCGATACGAGATGAGACGCCTGTCTGTAGGGGCACGGCTCAGCGGAGGGCAGTGGGCGTGATCGGTGGTGGAAAGTAAAGTCTGCTGATGGCCATGGTAATATTGATGTGATCAGAGGAGTCGGGCGTATATCGGTCGCTGGGTAGGCTTAGCGGAAATACTGTATAATCTCTAAATCTCTTTCCTTACTGTTGGAATATTTCCCTCTGCTAGTTGGTATTCGCTAGGTAGTCCATCTCTTGATTCTGAATCCCATTCCTTCGCAATCTCGCTATAGCTTCCAAACCGTCGAAGGCCTGATTGAGGCACCAGTCCATCCCGAGCCAGATTGCCTTAGCAGCTAGCCATAGAGGGAAGTACTGCAGACCATGATTGGGCTCTTGTCTGGGCGGTACTTCCAGCATTGTGCTCTTGCAAACAGCAGTAAGGGTGCTTTTTCGCAGCGACGCATGTGACCTTTTTTCGCGTGGTCGGCGCACTTTCGGGACGAAATCAATCCGGGTCCTTGAGCGAGGTAGTTGCGAAGGCATCTTGAGAGAAGAAAATGCGGTGCATTTATTGTCGTATTTGTTTGCGAATCTTCTTCATCCGTCTTGAAGTGCCCAGGTGGTGCTATGATCTGGCAAAGGTCGTAGTGTGCGAAAGAAAAAAGAGACAAGGACCTTGCATTCGCAACATGAAATCGCCCACGCGCACGAGTCCAAATTTTCATTGGGTATGAGTTGCATTGAAGCGTCGTTGATAGGGTCCATATGGTGGCTGGGAAGTTCGCGAAGTTTGGTACCCATGGATTGGCGCAAACTTGTCAACCAATACTTGGCCAAGGAATTGATTCATAGAATATCTGAGTACCTTTGCTATGAATATATCTAAAAACCTAAATTACCTTCAAACCTCGCCCGCGCACTTCAAATATATACCTGCCTATGCAGGAGAGTCGCAAGGCAGCACTGTCTGTGCGCAGACCCACCCGCAGATGGCTGCCTAGGTATTCAGGCCTCAACTCTTGTAATGTGAACGCTATAAACACGTCAAACCCCGTGTGGTTACATAAATCTTCAATCAAGCGGTTATATCTCGAAACGATTGCATTCGCATCTCATTACAATCTCTCCATCCGTATTTCTCCGAATTTAAAACATCTTCCTTTCCTTCCCCAATGACTACCACCGTCAAAGAATGGATAAAGAATCTCTGCGTCTATGAAGACGATGAATTTGTCCGCCACAGGAACTGGGGCTTTACTATCTACCGTACGGGATACGGACCTTCATCTGATCAGCAATGGCAGCGACTTCTCCAAAAGATCCAAACCGATGCGCGCGAAGGGGCTCTAGAAGCGACTGGAACCGAAGAAGACGAATCTGGCTTCCAACAAGTGTGGGCGCTCTTCCGCCTCGATGCGCGGTCAGACCCTGCGCTGGCTGGTCTCGATGTGGATCAACTTCGCGAGCTGTACAATAAAGGCGAGGGCGAACAACCAATGAATACGGACTACGACCTACACCGAATATTCCTTTTTGCCGATGACGAAGCTCTATCAGACCCCACCGCTTCCATCATCAAGGCTGTGGACGCCGACTACCGTCCAGAAGACCATGTCTCGCGAAACCCGCGAGTTGGTTCGCAACGTTACTTTGGCTGGATGCCAATGAAGGCTGCCAGCGTGGCAGAATTCTGGAATCGATTACAGTTTTCCGACATGAGTATGATCGCCCCTCCAACGATCGGGGGAAGTCACTTGGTGATTTGGGATGGAGACAGCTGGAAATGAAGCGTGTAGTACCTTGAGACAGTTCAATCGATTACAGCTTATAGACGCAGCTCTCTAATTGACTCTAAGCTCACTGAGTCCGTCATTGTCGTCGCCTCAGACTAATGCGCCTTTTGACGTCTCTCATCTGCTCTGATCTCTTCCATTACCCTGAAGTGCAGTGTTTCGGGGCCCATCCATGGCCACCAGTCGTGATTCGTAACGGACCGTTTACACATATGAGCGCCATCGTAGCCCAAGGCAGCAAGATTCTGTACCAGAAAATCCTCATCATCTATAGCAACGCTATTAGAATACGTCGAGCTTGCGGATACATGAAGCACTTACATTCATTGTCTAACTCGTACCTGATGATATAGTGAAATTCGACACCATGAGCCTCGAAGTATTCCTGAAGGCTGTGGAGGGAAAAAGGGAATTTTGAGTGCACTGCGTCATGAAAGTAATGAACGCTCACCTTTTTGAGCTTGCGGGGGAACTTTAGATCGTCTTCCACAAGGCCCCGTAGCTCCGCGGTGTAGTCAACGTTGGCGTTCATTGCGGATCTATCATACTTTAGTCTTAAGTCGACTAGATTCGGCGGCAGTAGATCACGAAGCGATCGGGCAGGTTCTGGAGTTTCAGGCAATTCCACGTAATGGATTCCTCGTTGTTTGCCCACAATGGCAGTGTAGTGCAACTCCAGCTCTTCCAGTTCTTCCATTTCAGATAGGAAGAAATTTCGCGGCCATTCATCCGTCCAGGTAAATGCACCATTCTCTTCCATCCGGAGTTCGAGTCTTTTGAGGGTTTTGCTGTGTGATCTTGCAGCTTTAAGGAGTGTGCAATGCCAATCCACTATGTTGTCGTCAGGTTTATCAGGTCGATCACATCGGAAGCTTGACACAGTCGCACACGATTGTAACAACTGTGTTATGTGACTTAATGGCGGTTCGGACGGCCAGATTATGGAGATGTTTTGTAACTGAGACGATCTTGGACGTATATTCCAAGACCCATGGTCGATGCCAAATGATGGAACACCGTATGATATGTCGTGAAGCTCCAAGGTCCTGAGCGATGGCAGATGCAATACAGGAGCTATCTTAGCCATGGGTATTCCTGTCATGTCTAGTGACAGGAAACAGAGTTTTGCGAACCCAATTGATGCATCGGCTGGTGCACTTAAATACTGCTGGGCTGCGTGAAGCAAGGGGGTAAGCCAGAGGGCCCGATGAGGCATATGTGCATTGTCTTCAGGTGTTGAACGGAATCCATGCCTACGAAGCTTCCACAATGGAGTAGTAGAGCAGTAAGTATGACTACTATAACGGTGATGCAATCTGGAAAGGACTTGGAGAGAGGTGCGAGCCTCCAAAACAAGAAGCGCTAGCCCTACTTCTTCCGGATGAAGAGCAACGGCCTCGATCAAAGTGCTCTCGTAAGGGAGGGATAATGTCCGGATATGTGCAGTCATCTCTGCCTTGCTTATGCTTCGGTCATTGCCACCTGCAGATTTCCCGTCGCAGAATCCGCCGATCAATATCTCGCGAACATATGAGACCATCTCGGGATGGTTGTGTAATGTGCGGAGGAGGCCGCCTGAGCTTCCGGGATCCGGGATCTGACAGCTCTCATAGAAAAACCGCATTCCGAAGGGATACAGGTACTTGCAGGTCCTAGCAAGAGCGGAAAAGGTAGGCCTTGCTGAGGCTCGTTCAGAAGTCGATCGCTCGGATCCATCCCACGGAAAAACGCGCTATACGAGGAAGAAAAAAAGTTAGTATATGCAACACATCTGCTTGTATAAGAAAGCTCATCGTTTGACCGTACTTATAACACACCCGGTAAAGCCAAACACTTTGAATGCCTCGAGGATATGGTAAAAGCATTACATTGAAGGCAACGAGCTCATTTGCCGAGCACAACTTACCTCGCATATTTCCAGGATGAGCTCGTCTGGAAGAGGAGCTAGTGGGTTGACGATGGTATCTTTCGACGCTATACGCGCAGACGGACAGCGCAGGGCCTGCGAATCAGTCAGCGAGTGCGATGCGGTTGACAGTTCTTTGGCAGTCGGCCTCGGTGCAGAAGTCGGTCGCTCTTGACATAGTTGGTTTTGCTCATCGGCGGCCTCCCGGCTGCCTTCGCGACGAATCCAAGGCACGTGCACACGCAATGGAATGTAGGAATTTCGTACTTACCTCCATCGTCCTCTAGTCGGGCAGGTTTGTCGCGTCAGAAGTTGTGGTGAGTATCTCTTGTTCGGCGTCAAACACGACAGCATGGTTGCCTAAAGTGCCCCACTCCAGATGCGGTGTGACTGCCGTCGGAAGGAGGACCGAACAGCAGGACCGAAAAGAGGATGGTAAAGGGCTGGGATGAGCAACTCGATCAACAAACCAAACACGAAAATGCAAACCGGTTTCGCGAATGTCGGACGACAAATTTAAGGTTGCAGATCTCGTATTCAACGTGTTAAATCGACGACGCTGCTGTTATTATGAAATCGGGTCGTCTTCTCCAGATATGAAAGCTGGATACGTGAGTCTGCGTTTACATCTGAACCCGTTTTCGTAGTTTCGAAAGGCCATTGAACTGTATTTCGCGCATTACACTTCGTATGTATCTATAAAGTGCCACTCAAGAATGGCAGCCATCCTCGGCTAGACCTGCAGAACCCCGTGTGTACCGCCCAAATACCAGCTCGCCGAGAAGTACGCTTCCCGTGACAGCGAATAGGAAACCGATGTTGTAAGTCATAACAGCAAGCATTCTACTGCGTCGTTAGTATCTCAGCTCTCAAAGGTTTCGTTCACGAACGTACAATACGTAGCCGATCAATGCGCGACTAAACTCCAAAGCAGCGCTTATGCCATCTTTCTTCGCGCTCCAGGGTGCTTGTGCCACCCAGAAAGTCTTACGTGATGCCGTAGAGCCCCGTGTAATACCAGTCTCCTCCGCTGCAGTTGGTTGTGGTACGACTGGGCTCAAAGGCTCAATCTCTTGCCTGTCCTTATCATCCAGTTCGAGAGGCTGTTGTCGCAGCGCACGGCTCCATTGCCGTGCATGGCCACGAACACTGTGGTTGACCAGCTTCTCCGTGTTGGGCATGAACTGTGATGTGCTCTCGGCCTGCTGTTGCATCCTCCATTTTCTCTCCAGTTGGCTCTTGAAAGCACTCAGGAATCGATTGAAGATGCCCAATGAAAAGAGGAAGAAGATCGTTAGCACATAGGTCGCCGTTGTCGTCGTCGTCCATTCAGTGAACCAAAGCGTGACGCGGGTGCTACTCGAAAAGGTCGATGCCATCCCCGACATGTCCATTGCTGACATTGATGCCCCGGGACGCATGGATGCCATGAGGTGTGCGTGAGCATCAGCGGAGGTGGCCGAAGGCATATCCATGTTCATGTCTGTGTCCGTGTCGATCGATATAACTCGTGGCAGAACAGCTTGTATGAACGTTTCAGAAGGAAAGAAGGGTGGAAAACGTGGGAGACTACTCTTGTAGCGGAAATGAAGATGTCAGCCGTCAGCTGTCAGACCATACAAGATCGTGTTTTCTGGGTCTGAACCATCATTAAGAGAGTTGAGAAGCACGTCGGCCAAGATCGCCAGGCACCGTGATGCGCAGATGTGGTGCCGCCAGATGAGCAAGTTTGAGTCCATAGGCGCGCGCCGGCCCGCAACGCGGAGCGGATGGCATGCACGTAGAGCTAGATCCGACGTTGTCGCGACTGTACTTAGGGAGCTCGATTGCGCTGATTTGTTGGACCTTCTTGTCCTTCCAGTGTCCAGTCTCGAAGCCGATGAACAGTTGAACCTCTGGCGTGTTCACGACATGGGGTCAGTACATTCTGTCAGTAAGTGCTGTCAAACATTTTCCTGACGGAAAAGCAAATCGCGTATTTCTTGATCTTCATACTTACGACCATGTCCTACACTATACGTCTGTCTCTTTCGCGGCCCAAGATCCCAAAGTGGGTACGTAGACTGCAGAGGAGAACTCGGGACTGTTCCGACCAGACTACTGCAGTACAGACGTGTACAGAGCAGATCTGTATTTCCTCAGTACGTTGACAAGCTCTAATGTAGATCAGAGCGTCTAGAGCCCGACTTTAGTAAGAAGTTTTCCCAGGGCCCAGGGCCCAGGTTCCGAAGCCTGTAGCCCCACTGATACTCCTTTACGACACACGTGTGAAGTGGGAGGGCACTCGCCGTCCTCGGGCACCATACTGTGATCCACTTCCTCTGAGTGGACCATTAACTCGGTGTTTCGATGGTCGTTCAACGGTGTTAAGGTCGGTGGGATGCGTTCACGGTCGTGTGATGGACGCTGTGGCCGCAATGTACCCTAACGGCAAGTGCCTGGCTTAGTGCACCGCCATACAGCCAAATGATGGCACGCCACATCGCGCGCGTGTTTGCGGCGTGTGCAGCCCCATCGGAGGTGGCTCCACCGTCGCGGTTTCACCTCGTGGCTCTGTGCGCCGAGATCGCGTGCTGACTATTCTGGAAGGCTGGAAGACTGACGACTGCAGAACACAGATTCGCAGTTCGTGTCATGTAGGAGAAGTATCCAGCGAGCTCGGACCGTTGCCTGGTCTGAAATGAACGTTGGCCGGGTGTGGAGTTAAAAGCAAGACGCACGTGCTTTGGAAGGTTGTTGGCCCAAAATGAAGCCAAGACAGGCGGGAGATGTGCATCAAAGGTTATTCACCAATTAAACACCGGCTGTAGCGTCCCCTGCCTTTCCCTTCTGGCAACGTGGTTCGAAAACGGCGAGATTCCAAGATTGAGATGTCCTCTTGCAGATGGACAAGGCGACGGCGTCAAGGGCCGATGCATGTGAGATGCGCGTATATTGGGCGCTATGACATGGAACGCGTCGAGTGATGATGATACCAACACTCGAGGCCAGGGCCATGCTGGTGATGATACGAAGCCTGTGCCCCGAGCGCCCTGCATGCACGGCTGCTACCGAACGGTGCAGCGAAGGTTATCAACATTGCGCAGTCGAAACTTTTGTTTGCTGTACATAATTTCTTCTTGCACGCGACCGTCTGCCCTAGACTACTACAGCCACATTGTAATCACCCTCGCCCTGCTTCAACGTCGGACGTGCCCCGCTTACCATAATAAGGTTTTGGACATATCCCCAGATTTCCTTCGGTAATCTCATCAGGGGCACCTTGAGCAGCGCGCCCTCCAACACCCGTATCTGAAACTCTCTGGAAGAGCTCCCCCGAAACACATCCTACCGTCGACTGCTCGTGATGCTCTGTCGCCGACTCCCCCCAATATAGCCCGACACGTCTGGTGCCATGCCGAGCTGGAGACCGCTCCCGCGCATCGCGTTCGCAATATGCATATACCCCTTCCAGCCCTCGTCGCCCGCCGACCTGCCCCTCGAGATCGGTGACGAGCTGTACATCATTGAGCAGGGCGGCCAGGATGCATCATGGTATCGAGGATATCTGGTTGCGCCGCCCTCGCTGCTGGCTGGCCTGACGAGCGTGAAGGGCCAGACACTCGAGGCACGCGTCTTCTCTGGCATATTCCCGCGATCGTGCGTCGAGGTGCGTGAAGTCCTGGGCGAGAGCAAAGACACGGCGAACCAGGACGCTGGACACGACTCGGGTCGTGGCAGCCACTACGCGCATCCGACCAACGGCATCGTCACGCCCACCGAAAGCACACGTGCGACCTCTCCCTCTGCCAAAGGCTCTGGCCCGAATGCGCGACGAGCCTCCAAGACGGATGGCGTCTCTGCGCTGCCCTCGTCCCTGGCCCGCCCACTCTCACGCCACAGGTCTGCCCGAAAGCGCGCGGGCAGCACCCACTCGCAGTGGACCTCGCGCGAAGAGCATCTGCAGCAATTGATGCTCCCGCTCTCGCCCATATCCGACCCGACCGCTCCACGACCGCCCGCGCCAGTACCGATGCTGAAGATTGGCGACGAGACACCCACCTCCGCCCAGGAGCCATTGGTCGACGAGATCGCCTCCTGCCTTCGCGAATGGCACTCCACAAAGGTGCACGAGCTGCTACTGGCACGCAAGTATGGCTCGTTGGACAAGATGTCACGGCTAGTGAACCGCCTGGACACGGCGCGCCGCCAGCTGTTGCACAAGGTTCTCACGGCCAAGGAGCTGGAAAAGGTACGCGAGGCGACCGTCTGGGACCTTGTGGCAGGCAATAAGATGCTCTGCGGAGACGTCATCGTACGGAGCCCCTCGCAGCGCGGCCGCATCCTGACGGGCGACGACTCGGCCATCGAAGTCACAAAACTGCAGTCGATGATGAGCCTACTGGACAGCCGACCAACAGCCCATGTCGACGAGCACAACCTAAACCATTTGTTCGTCAGTCTGAAACATGTGACGGGAGACGTCGTCAATGGCGCGGCTCAAATCAGCATGTACCTGTGCCTGAAGACGCCGGGATCAGCGCCACAACCACTCTCCGAGGCGTATTCATTCGACTTGACTGGGCGAGATGGATCAGCCGTGTCCCTGAGCAATGACAAACTGCGCGCACTGCTTGTGGATCTCAGCTTGACCGACATTGGTGAGGGCGCAGGATCCGGCACTACTCTGTATCTTGTCTTCAGGCTGATGACAAACGAGCCACTTCGCTCGCCGGCTGCAGCCGAGAAGGCAGGCACGGGCAAGGACACACCGCCAGGCAAGGGGTCGGTGCAGCCTTCCCAGCAGGGCAGCATCAAGGGAGGAAGGCGCAGCGTCATGTTCGGCTCCAAGCGGAAGGAGTCAACAAACTCGCGACACACCGAATCACGAAACACAGATTCTTCGGATGAACGCCATCGCCCGAGCCTCGAACAGTCCCGATCACAGACACAGACATCCGATGCGAGACCAGGCTCTTCCGCGACTGCAAGCACGCGAGCCCGCGCTTTGTCAAGAGACCAGAAGACGCTGAAGAGATCCATCGCAGTCGGTGTGGTGTCTGTCAATCAGATACTGCAAGCCCGGTCAGAGGCCGATCAGACCGTCAGGATGTACAGCACAGCAACACCTGGAGAAGATATCTTGGATAGTGATGGCGGCTGGGACAGCGTATTGCCAGAAATATACCCAAGCGCCACCGGCAAATACAAGCTGAACGCGCCTATCAGTCGACTTACCATACACATGAAAGCCTTCGTCCATGCAGACGCCGAGGGCCTCATCGCCAAGATCCCCACGATGCTGCACAACATTAGGCAGTGTCGCAAGATTGGTTTCTCGGGGGCTCCGACAAAGCCACGCAGCGACATCTACCTCACGCTCGTCGAGCCTTTCCTCCCAAAGAACGCCTTTCTGGCCCACCCAAAGACTGGCACTGTCCCGCTAATCCAAACCTCTCAAATGACCAACCTCCAGCTTACCATAGAGGTCCGTAAGAGCTCTGGGGAGCGCATTGAGGGGTGCATATACCCGTCAACTAACAGTGCAGGCCATACCGCATGGCGCACTACAGCAGCCCAGCGAGGCGAGGGATGGAACGCGACAGTCCGGCTTGCTATCGACCCCCAGGATGTTCCCGGATCACACTTGGTTATGAGCATTGCCGATGCCCCCGGATTTCCATTTGCGCTTTGCTGGATGCCCCTCTGGAACCAGGATGCCTTCGCCCGCGATGGCGACCATGCTTTGACGCTGTACAGATACGACGAATACACCTCAGGCATGATCGCTGGAAAGGGAGCATACCTTGGCCTACCTTGGAGTGCGAAGAAGAAGGATGACCATGTCATGGGTCCAATGGCATCTGTCCACGTCAAGACGTTCCTTTGTAGTACCCGATACTCCCAAGATCCGACCATACTCGGTCTCATCAAATGGCAGGAACAGCCGCCAGGAGAGCTTGTAGGATTGTTGCGCCGTTTCAACTTCGTTCCGGAGATTGAGATCGTCAAGCTCTTGAGCGAAGTGTTCGACGCCCTGTTCGCTATACAAAGCCATTATGCCGGAAGCGATGAGTACGAGGATCTCGTCTTCAATGCTGTTGTCATTGTACTGGGCATAGTGCACGACAGACGGTTCAACCTTGAGCCATTGGTGGATCAGTATGCGCGGACCAAATCATTCCACTCTCTCGTTACATCATGTCTCATGCAAAGTCTGGGCCGACTGCTCGCCAAGCCTACAGATTCCGAGAGCTCTCGACGGCTGCGCGCAACTTTCAAGGTCGGCAACCTCATCATGAAATTCCTGGTCAATGCGCGAGAAAAGCAGAAGGTTAAGGAAGAGAGTATTGGCATCAAAGACCGGACTCAGTTCAGCAAGGAGATGAGGGTACTCTTCACCTCATTAGAGGCTCTCATGGGA